AATTCATGAAAGTATATAGGAAGCAAAATGTTACTTTGGAAGGACATAAAATTAGAATAAATTGTCTATTAAAAGATTGAAAAAATTATATTTATTTTATTTTATTTGTTCAAACATTATCAATTGTCATTTTTATTATTATTTTTATATCCATATTATCCTCTGAAATTTGAAATTTGAAATCTTATGATAAATCCATTAAAATCTATATTACGAGATCTTAAATTTTTTTTTTAAAATCTTAAAAGTCATTACATTTAAAAAAAATTAAAATTTACAAAAAAATTAATATTAAAATAGTCTTATAAAATTTCAATCTACGTGTAAACATATTTCAAGTTCAAATTATAATACCAAGCATACATGAAGGATATTAGTCATTAGTATCTCGTTAATACTTATATTTAAGTCATTTAATACATAATTATTGTCATTAAAACATAAATAAAAAACAAATATTTATTTCAATACAAATTAATGTTAGCTCCTTTTGATTTATTTATTGCTTTAATTATAATGAATATTTAATTACTAAGTTCCCTTGATATTTAATACAGAAGACTAAATTATATTATATTTGGTTAAGTTAATTTATAGTATCTACAAACTCTTAAATTCAATTCTCTTTTCGTCATGTAATTTTTATCGATACAAAAATTAATTTATAAATTCTTATAATATTTTTAAAATTTTAATTAAGTCTCTATAATTTTAAAAATATTATACAAAAATTCTTTTAATTTAAAAATATTGTAAGTTACTGTTTCACTTACTAATAATGCCGCTATGATTCCATTTATTTATACTGAATTAATATTGTGACATGACAATTATCTTTAATTTTTATGCTAATTAGCATGATATCCTACTATATTAATTAATTTAAAAAAAAAACATTTATTTAAGGTTTCTAAATTCCTAATTCTATATATATTTGAAAAATGAAACGATACAATTTTCTAATAAGCAAGGAGAATTTTTTTTTTCTCACAGAGAAAATAATTAAAATAAAGCTAATATTCCAAAACAGCAAAAGGAGGGGGAACCAAGAAGAAGGAAAAAGAATCAGCTATGTATCCCCAAGCTATATATAACCCCTACCAACAAAAAGTTCATTAAAATTCAGCAACTTATCTTCTATAACCCCAACCAGCAACCTATCTAACTGTTTAACGTTTTAAATACGTAATGGTAGTCATTAAGAATATTTATTAAATAATAGAACATTTAAATACAAATTAATGCTAGTTTATTCTTTGGTTTATTTATTGCTTTTAATTTTATCAATCAGTTAATATCTAAGTTATCCTGATAAAATTAAATTATGAAGTTAAGTAAAAAATAAGTGTTAAAATTCAAATTGACAATAAATAAAAATAAGTGAGAAATGTGTCATGATTAGCTATGTTAAATATTAGGATTAATTGCATTTTTTATCATTCAAGTATTGCAATTGTGCAATTTTGATCTCAAGTTTTATTTGAGTAATTTTAGTTCTTAAAGAATTATAATTGTGCGATTTTGGTCCTTTAATTTTTAATTGAATAATTTTAATATCTCAAATATCATAATTGTGCGATTTTAGTCTCTTCCATTAACAATTTAATAATTTTAATATATATATATACAATATTTTAAAATTATATAATTATTTATCTATTCAATTTAATATATATTATAATTTTTGCTAATGTATAAATTTATATATTATTATTTTTATAATATTACTGATAAATTAATATCAATAATATTATTAGTATATTTATAGATAAACTAATAGTTTAATAAATATAATTTATTATATATTAATATACATTTACAAAAATATAAATATATTAATTAGAAATATACATATCTTGTCTAATATATTTAATATTTAAAAAACAAAATTTTTCAATTAAAAATTGAGAAATCAAAATCTTAGAATTATGATAACACTTAAAGAAAATAAATTTGCTCAATTTAAATTTGAGAACTAACATCACATAACATCAATACTCGAGAAACCAAAAATACATTTAAATCAATCATTTATTAATCTTATGAAATGTTGTATGACGTTTTATAATAGAAAATATTAAACAATTGTATAAAATATAAATCATTTATTTAACCTTATGGAATTTCAATTTATGTTAATAAAATATCTAAACTACAAAAATTGTGCAGTATGGATTTTTAATAAGCCTACTTTTTAATCACTTGGTTGGTTAGAGGTAAGATTCATTCTCAAATCTATGCATAAGAAAGGGTGTCTGATAAAAGAAATTATATTAGTTTCTAAATTTCAGTTTCGATAAACATTGTCCATGGTGTTATTATTCGAATCGAACACGATATTCTATAATGAAATGGACATTTTTGGTATAAACAAAATAAAAATAAAAATTGACAATTGGTGAAATACTGTTTATTGTTTACATTGAACCTACTAGTCGTGCATGTATCAAAATTTATGGCAAGGACAAAATAAACAAGGGGCATTATGGACTCATCAGTCATCACGACCTGAAATGGATTAATAACTGCATAAGGATTTGTCACAGCAAAAATAAGGATGGCAGTGAAACCGTTTGTGAGAGGGTGAAAATTTAAGGAGTGGTTGGTTTTCCACAATTGATGAGAGTCTCCAAACTCAAAATCTCGAGAGGTTAAAGAAAGATTAGCAGCCATAACACATAAAGCAGCTAACTGTCACCTTTACAATTACGGAATGACCACAAAATATGTAGCACTGTTTATTTCGTTGGATTCATATATCCAAAGTTGCACTCAAATTTTTCAAACTGAAACATTGGTTTCTTTTGAACACTCGTGGTTTTGCGACAAAATGTTGAGACCAGCACTGTTCGCATGGCCACCCAAGGCTGGTAAGAAAATCTTTCAGCGTGTCTTCTTTCCTAGGGTCCCCAACTATGAATGATAATATCTGAATAAAAATATAGTACATGTATTTACAGTTAGATTTGTTTTAAAGCTTGCTATGTACACGACTAATAATGGATAATATTGCAAACAAGTGATTTGGTTGTGTGGGAAGATGAAATTGAATGCGTATTCAGACAGTGTGGTGGCTCATTTATTTGTGTTCAGTTTAATGTTAGCTAGTATAATTAAAATAAAGTGAGGATAGATTTAATAAAGATATACTGATTTGCAGTCATATATTCTGATTGTTTTTAATTGATTAAAAATATAAAAATCTTCGCATGCTGCTAGTATATGAAAAATAAAAATAAAACTACAGTAATTTGTATACCTTAGAAAAATTTACAACTACATAAGTGCCCTTGAAAGAAGGAAAAAATTAAACAAGTGACCCCTTAATTTATCAACAGTATTCTGTAGTTTCATCTTTGAGTTTTCAAAACTTGGTTTACATTACAGATTAGTCCTTAATTCTATTTTAAATATATCTTGTGACTAATTTGCTTAGTATTTTGAGCCACAAATATTGAAAGTCGTCGGTGGCAAAGATTACCGGGTTTAGTTTGGTATTGAAAAAATCATTCAGCCGATTCAAAACTAATTAATATAATTTGACCTGAAAAATCGTGAAATTTGTGTCCTAAAATGATAAAGACAAGATATTACAAGTGGAGGAATATTCATGCTACTAACTAAATATTTGTTTTATATAACTAAAACTTTTAATAAATATTATATTTAAATATATAAATTATATTTAAAATTTGTATAAATAAATATTTTATAATATATA